GGAAATATTTGTATAAATAGAGAGCTTTATTTAACTTGAATGGATAAAAATCCACAGCTTTTGGTCCTAGTTCTCTTGGACACGATTAAGGATAAACCTTTCTTTTGTCCCAGTTTTTAACCTCATTACAAATATTTTTGCTCTTAATTTTGCACTTTTCTTAAAGTAGAGTGATTGATACAAGTTTTTGGTTGTTGTTTTTTTTCATATAGTTTTGCCCATTCTTTGAAACAATATTTTATATAAAGTGTAAGTGCATTGTTAGATTAGTTAGTAGCTGGACTAACTGGAATTTGTAAGTTGATTATCTATTTTAGAACTTAAATATTATGATGGCTTTAAATACTTAAAACAAAATAATTTACAAACTGAGAACACTATTTTTTACTTAATGGTCAACACCTAAATTTCCCTTTCCACAAATCAATTCATTGACTGTGAAATTCTTTTATGGATGGGGTAAGGTGTGGCCTAGTGGTAAACTTACCAGACTGAATATGAGATCCTATGGTTTTGTGACTTGTTACTGTAAGAAACAGCTCCACACTTGGGGCCATTGATGCATTATAAAAATACAACATTATACAATATGTCATTTAATAGATGAAAACCTTAGCTTCCTATTGGTTATTGATAATATAGAATTAAATGTAAGAGAGAACTATTATCCAATCCTGAAAAAGAGGATTTGACAGGTGGGTGTGACAGGAGAGGTCTGATTTTCTATTTGAAAGCTCTGTAACTAAACAAAATTGAAGGCTATAAAAATTATGGTTTGTCTGAGCAATAATGATTTTATAGTGAGTAATTTACATTTAATTTCGTACTTATTGGAGGTGTGGTGGATGAAATGTGTCACACTAGGGGAAATTCAGGATTTTTTTAAATATTGCCTTGTAGAATTAAGAACTTAAAACTTGTATACTATTAAAATATGGATCATTAGCTAACATTTTATGCTATACTAATTGGAATAACATAAACAAAAAGTAGATTAATAAAATTTTGAATGTAAGTCACTAAAATCTTGTGACGTGCTCAGTAATGGATGCCCATTGAGTTAGGGTTAATTGATTTGTACACCAAAATCATATCTAATCATGTGGTAACTTAATACTTAGTAACAAAACTAAAAAAACTGTTCACATCATAACACATTGTTAGTGTTTGGAAAAAGTTAAGATGCAAAAATTTACCGTGGCAATGTTTAATTGATGTTCATATTTGTTATTGGCTGAAGCCATAATCAGATTGCTGTAGGTTCCAGCTGTGTTGACTTCAGAAAAATTGAAACAAGTGTTTACGATAATAAATAAACCAGTCAAAAACACCAACATCTAATATTTATTTTTGACACTATATGGCTGTTTTATTATTAATTTGTGAAAAACAAATGAAGGGGTTTTCACCTCCCCAAATCAAAGCCTACTTAGACATTAAATAATACAATTATTAATTTATGAAAAAAATAGGTGGAATGGTTTGGGGTGAGGTTTCAACCTCCTTTGACCCTTCCCCTAAATCCATGCCCACTTTTTCAACATTAAATAATAAAAGTTATTAATTTCTGAAAAAAAATATTGTCTGTTTGCCCCCTGGACCCCTGCATCTGCTTATTTATACAACATTAAAAAAAAAACAGTTAATAACTTCTGGAACAAAAATGGATGGGAACCTGGACCACTTGAGCCCCTCCCTGAGATCTGTGCTTGCTTATACAACATTAAGTAATGTAGTTATGCTATTATAGATTAGGAATCTAACACTGTGTAAAAAAACAAAAACACTTTATTAAATACTTAAATAGTCAGAGAGCTGGTGATGGGTGCTACCAACCAGTTGCCATCTCTCAAGTCAGCAGTTCAATATTAGTGACAATGGCAGGAATCCTTAGTAATTTTGCAATAACAAAAGCAGGATGGGTAAATTTAGTGGCAGCGGGAATCAAAGCCTAAACCCTTAAATCACAAAGCATCTCACCCATTATGTAGCTTTGTAATTAATAACAAACATAATGGCAATATTTTGATACTTGATTATTTTCATGACAGTTGATTTCATTTTAATTAATCAATTGTTGGAATAAATGGTAATACTAATTTCAGTTCGTTATTTTCATAACATTAATTGATTAGTTTATGAGAAGACACTAATTGAAGTAATCACTGCTCTTAGGTAATTGATTAAATTGCACAGCTCTAAATTACTGTTGATTCTCATCTATCAGTCGGCACACTTTTACTATTTAGCCTCTGTGTTTTATCTTAAATTTTGATTCAGTATCAAACTGGAACTACCATTGATGTTTCTTAAGACTTAGGGAGAAGTGGTGATTGTTGCAAAGTAAACAGTGCCAAGTTTTCACTTCATGTAATCTACCTAACATTGCTGGCAAATTCATATACTGAAAGTTTAATATTCTAAATCTTGTGGTAATTATTATTGGTTCACATTGCTGTTATCATGAACTTACTATCTAGGAGTATAGGAAATTTAGAATAATTGGTGAGATCAAAGTCCACACCTATAAGTTATTCCACTGCATTATCACAATGATCTTATATTTAGCATTATTAATTAAAAACAACTGTTAAAAAAATAGGGCAGACAACCTTACATCTGGTAAGAAAAAAACTATTTATTTTAAAAAAATAACCTGTTGTGCTATTCTGATTTTATAATATTTTACATAAGGGAAACTAGACAAATTGAAGATGGTGGAGGAGGATACACTGTCTACTAGATTTATTTTCTATTCTCAAGGCTAAAAAGTTAAATGTTTATCTTAAATGGAATTTCAGAATGAGGCAAAGTTATCATGTATTATTTATTTGTCTGTAAAGTAAAACCACTGGAATAGTTTAAACAGAATAAACAATTGAATTGTTTTAGGTGCTGTTGGGGGTAATGGACATCAAGTTCCCGATGAGTTTGTGGAGAGTTGTCTAGACAATGATGATTCTTCTTTGATCTATGACAATGAAATGGGCCCACCATTCTGAAGTAGTGACTTTCAATAAAATCACTGGCTATCACTGCAGTGTTTGTGGATTTTGATGGTGACAAACTGTTGATGACTGGTAGTGAAGTGCCATATCTAATTAGTTGGTTTCATTTAGAAGAAGGAAAAGAAAATATACATGTTGGCCCTGAAGAAATTTTAATTTGTAAATTTTGTTATAAATAAGTGCAGAATGTGTAGTTGTCAAGGTGTATGGAATTTGGTGAAAGTAGTGTTTTAGAATTTTGATTGATCCATGGAAGGATTTTTACATTAGTAACATAAATAATCAATTCAATATTAACATTTTACTCAAGTTATGAAGATTTTTTTCAGTTCTCTCATAGATACACTTTACTGCTTGCTTATGAAAGCATTTGAGTCTTTAAGCAATCATAGCCACCCTGGCCCTTTAATTGTCCTTGTATAAACAGTATTTTGAACTTGAGGCTAGTAGCTGGATCAAATTTTTTTTTGGAAGGTATATATTTGACAGTTGAACCACTCAGAATTACCTCTAGTCATATAAAATATTTTTTCTCACATTTACGTACTTTGATAGTTTTTACTTGAATGTTTTTACTATTTATAGTGGTGTGTAATAGTGCCATAATTTTACATTGAAAATCAATTCACAGACATTGAACTTGTGTTGTAATTTTTTACTTTGAATGTATCATCACAACAACCAGTTGTTTCACACTTTCAAGAGATAACAAATAGCATATTTTGTTGCTTTAGATATTGTTTTCAAGATGTAAAAATTAGTTGTTGCCATTTATTGCAGCTAATTGTTTGGCTCTTTGGAGTACGATCTGTGTGTGCAATACGAAAATAATCTAGTAGAATGTAATCAGATGTCACAG